GAGGGCGCGCTCCCACTCTGGGCGGGTACCTGTCCCTTCGCCACGTTCGGCGGCTCCCCGGATCGCCCCAGGACCTGACGCCCCAGGACCTGACGCCCCATAGCCACTACCAACAACGGGAAAGAGAGCAGCAGGGCGAGCCCCGCAGGCCCGGGGATCTGCAGGAATCCTCCGAAACTTACAGTTTTCCTACAGCGTGCGCGTCACGGCGAGGTGACGTCACGGGACCCGGCGTTCGGGGAGGTCAGGCCGCGGGACGCGAGACCGCTAGGCCCCCATGGCTCCGCCCCCAGCGCGCCAGCAGGCGACACGAAAAAAAAAGCTCCGCCTCCGTGGTGGGGCTCTGGGCGCAGTCGCAGAGGGGCTTGCGTGGCCGCCTCCTGGCGCGGTGTGGCGGTCAGGACGCATAGGGCGGGATCTGATCAAGAGAGCATCGCTCTAAGCCTGTGTGGGTGTGGGTGTGAGCGCGCGCCCGCGTGCGCGTACAGACAGGAGCAATAGAAGGGGGCGAAGACCCCAGGAACACAGTAAACCAGCTATTGGTCAGGGAGTTGAAGTAGGACGCCAGAGTTGTGAGGCAGATTTTCCACAGACATTGCTGTCTTTCCCTCACGTGTTCGTTAAAAGTTCTCCACGTGTGCAGACTGCCATTTGTTCTCCATCAGGTGCCTGCAGGTCCTCCGCCGGGAGGCGTCAACTCTCCCACAGGCCCTCGCCGCCACCCTCCCGGGGCTCCGCCTCTGTCCCGCGCTCCGCCCCTGTCCCGCGCTCCGCCCCAACCGGACTGGCCCCTGCTCGGACCCGCCCACTCCAGGCTCGGACCCGCCCCTTTGAGTCCGCCCTTCCGGCTCCTTCTAGCTCAGCAAGCTGACACCCACTTACCGCGCTCTGTCTCGTTTCTTCCTCTCCTCTTTTCCTTTGAGGTTTTAGCCTCTTCTGCTCATACTGGATTTCCCGTTTTTAGCTACTTACGCACTACATTTCACCTCTATTAAATTTAACAAACAGTGGTCTGTGTAATCAAATATGTACACTTCTTCGCTAATGTCAACGGTCCACCTCCTCTCACGTGTTGTTATCTTCCTGTGCCCAATCCAGGGTTACTACACTTTTACAATCTTACAAATGACAAATTCTGGTTAAAAGATGGCTCAGTGGGAGGTGAAAGGAAGGCTTGAAGAACATTATTTCTGGCTTATAGAATTCTTAGAATACTCGAGAGCAGAAAAAAATAAACGTTATGGTAAAAAGTGGCTTGGACAACTGTCGGGGAAAAATAAATGGGAAAAACAGACTTTGGAGATAGACTCTAAGGAAGAAGTGTTTAAGGTAGCAAGGATCACTTGTAAAAACTTAACTTGGAATCACAATAGCCAGATCAGACCTGGGATTTTGCCAGGCAGATCCAGTCAAAATAAAACCTGAAACAATGGTTTGTTTACACTCTCATTGAAAATATTGTAGTATTTTCATAGGAAAGAATAATGACAGGGGAATGTTAGCCTTTAACTCTTGACATCTAAGCTAGTTAAAAATAAACACGTATTATTCAGGAAAAATCTACTTAAGTAATTAAAATTTTTAAAACTTTCTGATTTTCATGGTATTTCTACATTGTTTTAATATAATTTCATACAAGGTTTTAATGAACATTATGACTGATGTAAGAAATTCATAAAGTTTGTACATGATAATTTTAATTATAAGATCTTTGTTCCGTGGAGCAGTTATAGAAAAAAATAACACTTTAAAAGTTCTACGTGTTTTTAAAATAGCAATATTTATATTTTTCCGTGTAAAATAACAATTTTAAGAAACCTTTAAATTGTTAATTGCATTATTTACATGCTTAGAAAATGTTTTATGTATGTCAGCCCCAAAACTGGAATTCACTTTTAAAGAGAGTCTAGATACACCTGTCAACCAACGATCGCTGCCACTAATCCAATACCAACAAGAATCTTCAATCTGGGGTGCAGCATAAGAAGAAACTTTATTCAGGTAAACAATTTGCAAACCCAGGAAACACATCTTCTGTTAGAAACCCAAAGTTTGCTCCCCTGAGACAAAGATGAGGGCTACTTATGTAGAAATGAGGTCAGCCCTGGTCTCTGATTAATCCATTTTTATGCAAATGAGGAACCCAAATTTGCTCAGTTTGATTGGTTTAAATAGCACATTCTGATTGGTAATTATGGAGCTGCTCTGCTTGGTCCATAAAGATGCATATGAGACTATAGCTATACAACTCCTGTTGGACAGGGCAGATCTCCACCCATTGGTCAAAATATTATTCCAGGAACTCCTTTATAAAGGTCAGCTCAGAAGGCAGAAGCAGTGCTGGAGACTTGTCAGCTCCGTCTGTGGCTTTTCCTGAATATGTAGTGTGTGTGTGATAGACCTCTGCAAATAATGGCTGCTAGACTTTGATAATGAATATGGGCCCTGTTAACTACAAGTCCTTTAGGGAAGGTATATTTCTTCTTGGGGTCAACATACCTCTGGGAGTATCCCACAGGTAAATGTTATCTGTCATTTTTTGGAGTGAAAATAGTTAAGAAGTATACACTAAATGTTTTAAATATGCAATGCTAGTGCCTTTATAAAATGGTATGACAGAATACATTCTTTTCTTCTTGTCTTATTATTCAGTATTTTCTCTCCCAAGATTTCTCCCAAAACAAAAACCTCCTGTGCTACTAGATGCGGTAAAGAATATGGCTAATGAAAGGTTGACAAGGTGAAAGGGTACCCAAACAGAGAGAGGAACAGAGAGAGGGATGTCAAGAAGAAATTTGTGGGGAAATACACAATCAGATTCAGTCAAATTTCTATAACAAACTGTAATCTGATCTAGATAAGTAACCAGGAGTGAAGATCAAAGAGTATTGATATTAGAAAGAGGAACTGTAAGGGGAACTTCTTTCTTTAAGAAAATAAAATCCTGGATGTTCAAGGGTTAACACTGAAAGGACTAATGATCTCCACTCTAGCTCTTAAGGTTTCAATTTCCCCTGGTGGTCCTTCCACTTTGATATCTGCTATCCCTAGCAAGCTGGCTTCCAGAGCCCACTAATTCATAACTCTTCCCTTAGTCTACTTAGCAAACTCAGAAAACCTGAAACAATACTAGGGGAAAATAAAATAAGAAAAAATATAATGGCAAATATTTATTGAGTATTTCTATGTGCCAGGTACTGCATTATCTCATGTAAGCCTTGCAACTAGATAAGGTAAGTGCTGTTATCTCCATTTTACACAAGACAAACAGGGTGCAGGAGACTAAGTCAAGTGTCCCATGTCACACAGCCTCTAAGTAGCAGAGTCAAGATTTGAACCCATAATTCAAAACCCTCAGCCATAACCACAGATCTGTATCAAGTTTCATATAACAAAGTACAAATAATGCAAGAAACAGACCTGGAAAGTCCAAGATATGGAAATTCTAGCTCCAAAAATCGATCACTATATAGGTCCATCTTCTTCATTATTTCCCAGGCCTATCTCCATATTCTGCTTCTTATCTCATTTTTTAAGGTGCTTATCATGACCCACTAAGTTGATTTTGTGACCCATTAATGGATTGCCACCTTGAAAAATGCTAATCAGAATCCAAAATATAAAAGATCAGATTGTATCCATATGTAATAAGGGTAACTTTTTCCAGAACACAATTTTGAGAAAACTGTTTTAATATCGTATGTATATTCTGGTTTGCTGTGTTAATGTATTTCTTACTAGGGATCTCAATAAAAATTTTTTAAAAAAATATTATTAATGCCACCCTTTGCATGACTTCTATGCATATTTTGTCATTCAGGATCAAGACCAAGAGAAACCAAATTCTACCCTGCAATTCCCTCACATTCCTCTCGGCTCCAGGATCTAGCCTCGGAGATCTCTTCCCAGGTAGCCAACACAATAATCAGGTCACTTTTACATCCAGAAAGGCTCTTGTTTTCAAGAGTGTACTAATAACTTAACAATTCAATAAACATCCATAAAACAAGACTTAAACAGAATAAAAGAGAGGTTTTTCTGAGAAAGGGGCAGAAGTAGGGAGCTTGTTGGAAAGAAGACCTGGAACAGAAATTGGAGAAGGAGGTATGTATTCTCAATAATCACATAGCCTTGCACACGTATGCTGTTAACACAGTTTGCAAAGTATTTCATGTCTCGTTTTATCACCTCTCTGCCCCCATCCCTTTACATAGTTAATTCTCCCCCATCCTTTTGGTCTTTACTACAGATGGTGGTCACAGTCACTTTTAAATTACACTTAAAAGTAAGCCGTGAAGCTATGTAGAATATATTTAATAAGTCTAATTTTAGTGAGATTCTCTTGTCCAGTCATACAATCGATACTGCTATTGACATTAGTCAGGATAAGGTTTGGTTGGAAATGACAGAAAAACCGCCAAGATAACAGCCTTTAGCAAGATCAAAGTTTATTTCTTTTATGTGTAGAAATGTCTGGATATAGGTGATCCAGGACGAGTTTGCCCATGGTGGTGTCAGTGACTCAGGTGCTTTCCATCTTGTTGCTCAGTCATGCATTACCTACATTCCCAAAGTCACCTCATAGTCCAAGATGGCTGCTTAGCTCCCATAATCCGACAGAACGCAAGGAGAAAGACCAGAATATTCTATACCTAGTACTCCTTAAACCCCACTTTTTTCAAGAAGCTTTCCTTAACTAATTAAAAGACTGGTCTGGTCATTTCTCTTCTATATTCACTTAAAACCTACTTGTACTAGACTTCAGTCATTTAAATACTCCATCATCATGATCGTTCTTAAAGCTAAAACAATGGTTTTCAACCTTAACTACACATTAGAGTTGCCTGAAAAAACTTTAAAATGAAAAGCAAGTCTCAGGTGATACTGGTAGCCCAGGATCCACACAGTAGTTGCTCACTTAACATTGTCAATAGATTCTACAACTTTAAGCAAAATGTCATATAATGAAACCTGTTTTATTATATAAAGAAATATGATAGTTCCTGTGACTCAGGTATCATGAAACAAAATTGTAGGTGGATGTGACAAAAGCTGATATATGTGCAGGAAAACACCTTGCATTTTAATAACACAGGTTATTAAGGTCCTACGGTGTCTCATCAACGTCATAGTGAACCGATGTTGAACAAACATATAATGAAACCTGTTTTACCATAGGCTTATTGATATAAACAAGAGTTAAGGTCCTACGGCATCTCATCAACGTCATAGTGAACCGATGTTGAACAAAACTACCTTGAATGAAAGGAAATTATTCAAGG